CAGCCAGGTACCCCGGAGACATGACCTTCCCTTGGTCTATGCCCCTACTTTACCCTTTTCTTTGAGAGGCTCCAGGTTCTGAGCTACACCTGGCTCTGGTTCCGTAATAACTTGTTTTAATCTAGTGGTGAAATGGTTCCGATTCACTGGCTAATTTCTCTATCATTTTGGAGCTGGTACAAATTATTAAAAATCAAAATCATAAAATTTTCTATTATGTTTGGAGTGCCCAAGTCATGATGAAATCTCGATTATTTTAGACTAAGGTCCAAACACCTGCTCTGTTTTAAATTATGTGTGTTTCCAGCTATACATCTATGTCTTCCATTACATTTTTCTTGGAGTACTACTAGTACAGACATGCACCACAAAGAAGTTATGATCATTTATAGTTTTTATATGAAACTAAATCAGGAAATAGAAACAGCTTGGAAAATGGAGAAATTATAGGTAAAGCTTAGACAAACAATAGGTACCAGAGAGAGAAAGCTGGGGTGGGAGTGAGGGGAAGTACGAAATCCTTCACAGATTTTCTGCTGGTACAGTCACAAACTGCAGTCTCAAGTCCATGCCAGACAACTCTATCAGCATCTTTTAATAGGTAGAAAATCATACAGGGAAAGTGCTGGCCACATCAATGCCCTATTGTTAATCTCCATTCAAGCACCTGCTATCATGCTGAGTTTTTCTCACTGCCACTGACAACCAATTTTCCCTGGTTCCACAGGCTGGTTCAAAACCTCCCAGCACAGCAAAGAAGTACAACCCATTGCCCAGAACTCTGGATCCTTCCTTTCCAAATGACAAGAACCTCCATTGTCCCTTTGGACTTTGATTCCCATAAATCTATGCAGTCAGGACCTGAAGCCTGGTTACAATCAACACATCCCTGCCAGGAGCAATGTCAGAGTTGATTCCATGGTTTCAGAACTGGATGGGGTTATGGGGCAAGAGTAAAGTGAAGCATGGCTAAAGGAGTTGCCTGAAATAGTGGGCCAATCACAACAGCAGATAGAAAAGACTAAGGGGCTAAAACTTCCAGAATAGTTCTCTGATTCTGTTCATTAGGAATCATGGTTAAGTGACTTGCTCTGGCCAAAACTATTGGTTAAGTATCAGAGGGAAGATCTGAACATATATATAAAGATATGCACTCATTTGTGCATATATATACAAGTACTATATATTTATACACCATGCATATGCACACTATATAAACATACACATATAAACATATATGCATAGGTTCGTGTGTATATATATATTTATAACTATATATTTATGTATATCAGCTAGGTGATATAGTGAATAGAGTACTGAGCCTGGAGTTAGGAAGACCTAAATTCAAATCCCACCTAAGACATTTGTTGGCTGTGTGACCCTGGGCAAGTCATTTGATCCCTTCTGCCTCAGTTTCCTTAACTGTAAAATGAGGATAATAATAGCACGACAGAGTTGTTGTGAGGAACAAATAAGATAATATTTGTAAAGTACATAGCAATCTGGAATATAGTAGGTGTTTCATACTTATTTCCTTCCTTTCATTTATATATGTATATATCCATAAACACATACATATTTACATATGTATGTGTGTGTGTGTGCAGAAAGTCTAGTTGTTAGTTTCAAATTCAGGACTGAAGCTTACATAAAGAATTTAGGATTGGAGATGAATGCTGGATATTATCATCTCCAAATATCAACATAGGACAATAGTCAGCAAACCCCTGCTTTTATGTGGCTACCCCTTGGCTTTCTGGGTTACAACAATTAGAATGCAAGTTCCTTGAAATCAGTGACTATCTTTGCTTTTGTATTTGTATTTGTATAGCACTGAATAAATGCCTCTTCATTTATTCATAGAAGAAAGTGAGCTGTGTTAAGCCTTGTTTTATAACCTTTTGTTTTTGCTTTTCTTTGTTTCCTAAGCATTTAGGCAGGCTCCTAATAAGTTTTTGCCTGTTGAATTGACTTGACTAGGTTGTTTTTTTTTTTTTAAATCTTTATATTCCCAGTAGTTAGCATAGCACTTGGCACAAAGTTGTCACATAACAAATACTTGTTGATTAATTTTTTTTGCTTCTATTCATTCCATTTTTTTAATATTTAATTTATCAATGAAGACCAGTATGAGCAAAATATCATAGACACCTAAAATTCAGTCATGGCTTCAGACTGTGGATTATAGGTAAAGTCAAAGTGGAGTTTAATCTCAGGAGCAACAATAAGAAGATGAGTTTACTGTGTTATTCAAAAGGAGGGAAATAATCCACCCCTTAAATCCTCCCCTCCCTTCCCAGTTACTCCCTGTGGTAAGGTTGATAGGAAGAAAGCAGAGGAGGTCACTATCTGTTAATATTCCTGCTCCTCTAGGGACATAAAATGAATGGAACTGAGCCTGCTATAGGTATATTTTCACAACTACAGGTATTTACTAAGTGGAGGTTGACTGCTGATAGGCCCGAAGTGAAACCAGCCAACATCAAGGTCAGCTAATCGTAAGTGGCCTTGTCTCTCACAGGTTGATGTGGTGATCAAATGAGATAATATTTGTAAAAGTGCTTGGCATGGTTGCCTGGCACATTGAAGGTATTTAATAGATGCTCATTCCTTCCCCTCCCCCCCTTTTTGGTGGGAGACAGAGGACAATCTTGTGGCTCGATTAAGGCCTCTTGGAATGAAGACAAAAGGCACTGAATACAGTAAACTGCTAATACACGCCTGGAACTCCTTTCCTTTCCCAGGAGTTCCTGGGCCATTGATATGAGTGCCTGTCCATCTTGGCTACCTGACATCTACCATTTTTGCCCAATTTTTCTACTAGTTTAATTGTCTCTTCAGCCATTGTATACTTGAATTTCTTTAGTTTATTTGCTGCATTCACACTTTCTTCCTTGGCTTTGTTTGTAATCTGTTTTGTGAGCTTGACCAGCATTTCTCTGTGTTGCCTTCTACCTTTGAGGACTGGCACCTGAATTACTGTCCCGTTGACTTCTGGGTTCTGATTCATTTCATTTTATTGTATGGCTTTATAGCTGCAACTGTACATTCTGAAATTGGTCGTGTTTATTAAATCTGAGGTTTGTTTTTTTTTTAAGTGAAATCTGGTCAATTTGATCACCAGTTGTCAGAGTTACGTGATCCAGGCACCCAAAAATCCATCTCCTAACTCCAGGCATTTTCACTGGTTGTCCCCCATTCCTCAAATTCCCTCCTCATCTCCAACTCAGAACTTCCCTGGCTTTCTTCAAGTTTCAACTAAAACTCCACTCTGCAAGTTTTTCCCTGTTCCTTTCAATGCTAGTTCCTTCTTTCTGAAGAACTGCTTCAGAAGTTGAATGACTACTATAGATCTTTGTACATAATTGTTTGCATATTATCTCCTCCATTGTGAGCCTGAGGACAAGAAAGCTTAGGGCTTAGCATGGTGCCTGAGGCTTAGTAGATACTTACAAATAAGTAGATACCTATTGACTGATTTATTGTGGTGCTCTGACAGACACTGAGAGTCAGGACTCCTAGGTTGGAGAATCAACCCTGGCACTAACTGCCTGTGTAACTCACCTTTTGTTTTGTAGAAAATTATATGATCTCTCAGTAGTTTCTCTGCCTCAATCACAAAACTGAAATAGCCTAATTTTCTTAGAGGCTGAATGCATTCACAAAGTTTGCTGAACACGGAAGCTGCTTAGGAGTACTAAGTACTACTGGTTTAATTAGTAATTTTACAGATTTGATAAGGATCAGAGATCAGAAGACGAAAATGAGAATGATCTGCCATCGGGTCAGTTTTGGCAAACATTATAACTCCATGTGTTTATATGTATGGGTATATGTAAAAGCATACATATATTTGTGACTTCTTTGAAAGGTCATTGTTACCTACTTTGCTGAAATTCCTGCCTTTATCAGCAACCAAATTGCATGAAGCTTTGGTGTTATATTTTGCATTTGGGAGAAAACCAGACCAAACCAAACCTCTATTTTCCTTACTTGCGCTTTACCAGATGGTTTAATTGGTTTCCACACCATCATTCCTGTGTATTATCATCTGACTGACAACTGCTATAAAATAAAACGCCAACGCCCCAATTCCTTCACACAGCATCTCAAAACTTCTAACTGCCTCCTCAGACACAGTTTTGATGCCAGTTCTCTCTCGTCTATTTAATTAAATCTCAGACCAGGGATGATGGTGCTGCCTTAAACAGCTAAGAACACCCATACCATGCCTTCAAAACATTATTTTTCCATATAGATGTGGTATAAATGGAAAGAACCTTGGATTTGGAGTCCTAGTTTCAATTCAATCCAACAACTGAGCAAACATTTACTGAAAGCCTACTATGTACAAAGCACAGGGCTTTGTAGATAGTAGGGCATACAAACTACTCCCTCCCTCCCCCACCAAGAAACAATCCATGCCCTCAATGATTTTTCATTCTATCAGGTGGGGGTGGGGAAAAGGTGAGATATATAGTTAAGTATATACAAAATAATTTTATGAACTAGAGGGTACCATCAATTGGTGGAAGGTGGAGGGGTGGGGATCCGAAAAGGCCAATAAGTAAGAGGCCTTATCTGAACTGAGCCTGGAAGTAATCAAGGAATCCGGGTATTTTAAGAGGTGGAGTCAAGGAAGAAGATGGAGTGAGTACTAGGTATGGTGGGGAAAGGGACAGTCTGTGCAAAAATGAAGGCAGGAGACTGAATGCTCAGTTTGGGGAAGAGTTGGGAGGTCAGTTTGGTGGGGTTGGTGTGATATGAAATAAATCTGGAAAACAATAGGGGAGCCAGATTGTGGCAGGCCTAAGAAATGCCAGAATTAATATTTTGTACTTTATCCTAAAGGTAATTAGAGGACCCCCGAGTTTTTCAGTAAAGGAGAGACATGATCAGAATTGTGACTCTTTCACTAGCTATGTGACCTTGGGCAAGTCATTCAACTTCTTTACACCTCAGTGTCCTTACCTGTAAAATAGGATATCTGTATTACTTACCTCATCCTGAGTCCCCCATACTGTTTTATGTTTATTTATGAATATGTTATGAATTCTTTAGGAACATATAGGAGTCAACCACACTTGAAAGCTCTCCTCCCAAGAGTTCTGCCACAGACTACTCTTTGTAGAATTTCTCCTTAGGGCATATAACCATGATAATTTATAAGGCTATGTCTCAGAACTTTGACCATGCTAGTTGAGAAAACAGTGGTTCTGTGACATCATTAGAACTTTGTATGGGTTGGTTCATTTACGGCATCTTGGTCGGAGGTTGTTATGTCTCCCAGAAATTTCTGGTTTTCACTGATTGTGTGGATTTTAACTAGGAAAGTCATTATTAAAGTGATAGTAACTAATTGTCCTTCATGCTGAATTATTTTTAGGTAAGATATTCATTACTTATCATCGCTTATTAGATATGTATTTCCTTTTTATTTTTCATCATTGAAGTATTCACAAAGTATTCATAAGGTGGGAGGGAAAGGAAGAAGGGATTGCTTTCATTTTGATTCATTTTTTGCTAGGCAGTGGGGTTAAGTGATTTGCCCAGGGTCACACAACTAGTAAGTATCATGCATCTGAGGCAGGATTTGAACTCAGGTCTTCCTGACTCCAAGGCGGGAGCTCTATCCCTCAAGCTACCCAGATGCTCCTGATTGCTTTCATTTTGAATCCTTGCTTTCTAGGATTTCTAATAGTCAGATAATGAAAACTTTTTTTTTTCTGAAGCATCTGAAGTATACCATTAGACCATGGGTGGGAAATCTTTTGAGAAAAAAAATGTTGTTATTTTTGCCATTATACAAAGCAGCTCCCTATATACTGGTCAAATTTAGGGATGTTCATTCAGGCCTCATTCTGTCTGCTCTGACAACTAGCTTAATGATATGAATTTGATTGCTGAGAATAATTGTAGAAGGGAAATTTGATTTGAAATGCAGCTTTGAAAACACTATTTTGCTTTGTTTAACTTTCCTTCCATACCTGAGGCATAGGAGGTAGTGTGGTAGAGAACTTGCTCTGGACTTGAAGGATGTGAGTTCAAAGTCTACCTCTGCTGGTTTCTCACTGTGTGACCTTGGAAAAATTAACTTCCTGGGTGCAGTTTCTGCAGCTGTAAAATAAGAGGGGCTAGTTTAGATTGGCTTCAGAGGCCCTTTCCAACTCTGGATCTGAGATCCATCCACATCGGTTCTTTTTTTTTTTTTGGAGGCAATCAGGGTTACGTGACTTGCCCAGGGTCACACAGTTAGTACAAGTCTGAGGTCAAATTTGAACTTAGTTCCTCCTGACTTCAGGGCCAATGAGCTATCCATTGTGCCATCCAGTTGCCCCTTAAATTTCTATAAATATGTAGAATGGGACTACTCAAGTCCACAATGTAAAATTTTAAAAAGGGCTATGTAATAAATTAAAACCCAGAAATCTATTCTTAGACTCCCTGTAAATATAAAACCAATTAGGAAGATGTGTTAGGGTAGATTTGTTTTATGTAAATGAGATTTGGAAATTCTGGTGTTGAAGCTGACACATTTGGAATACAAGTAAAATTTTTTAAAAATGATACGAACATTAAGAGAAGGAAACCACTAAATTCTTCGAATTATATCTTTTACTTTTCATTCTCTTTTGCATGTCAGACATAAATGATACAATTCTAATATACATGCTGGGTTTGAATTGATCCAATTTGTATTGATACCAAGATTTTGGCAATAGGTCCATCTGAGAGATAAGGGCTAAATGACAAGATTTTAATGAATTTTAATAAATTGTCATTCAACTCCTTCTCCTCCCCCCACAGCCCCTTATGATATCTAGGCCTCAACTGGCTTTTCAAAACCTTGGCACTAACCTCCCCTTGAAATGGACTAAGGAGTCAGAGGCAGCCTTTCAAAATAAAAAAAACCAGCTGCTTTCATGTTTTTGGAGACACTCATCTCAGTGAGGGTGAGCAGTGTCAGGAAATACGGTATGATAGAAGGAAGACTGTGGAATCAAAGGACTTGGTTGCAAATTCAGTCTCTGACACTTCCTAACTTGGGCCTTTGGGCCAAAGTGAAATATCTTTTTTGTGCCTCAGTTTCATCATTTGCAAAGTGCTGTTCCTTAATTGTGACACTCCATCCCCTACTCTGAGCATTTTCACTGGCTGTCCCTCATTCCTGGAACCCTCTCCCTTCTTATCTCCAACTCCTAGCTTCCCTGGCTTCCTTCAAGCCTTGGCTAAAATCCCACCTTTTGCCAATGGTCTTTCCCAGTTTTCTTTAATCTTAACGTCTTCCCTCCGAGATGATCTCCAATCTATCCTGTATCTGTACCTTCTTTGTACATAGTTGTGCTTTTGTATTGTCTCCTCCATCAGATTTTGAGCTCCTTAGAAGCACAATTTGTTCCTGTCTTTGTTTGTATCCCCACAGGACTTAGTACAGTGACACATAGTGAGCACCTAATACATTCTTTGTTGAGTTTCTTCCAGCTCTACATTTATGATTTGGGAGAATAAAAGGACTGATCCATGAAATCATGTGAATTTACTGCAACAGGTACAATTCAAACTAATTTTATGAGGTAGTGGGTAATTTACATATGACTGCTTGAACATAGCTGTTGATGGTGGTGCACAGTAGGTAGAGTGCTAGGCTTGGAGTCAGGAAGATCTGAGTTCAAAACTGGCCTCAGATACTTTTAAGCTGTGTTGTATGATCCTAGACAAATCACTTATCCTGTGTTTGTCTCAGTTTCCTCATTTTTAAAGTGGGGATAACAATAAACCTTTCAGAGTTGTGGTGTGGATCAAATGAGATAATAATTGCAAAGCGCTTAGCGCAGTGACTGGCACATGTGAGAGCTACATAAATGGTAGCTATTATTATTATGACTGCCTTTTTTTTTTTTTCCTGAGGCAGAAAACCAGGCTGACAGCATCTAGGAAGATATCAGTTTGAAACCTAGTGATTAGGTGAACTCAAGGTTTGGGAGATGACTCATTCCCTAAGTGCATCACTGCTCAATCTGTGATCTGCAAAACATGGAATACAATCAATGTGTGTTCTATCCCTCATGAGTCCAGACTTATTTTGTAGTCTCAACAGCACAATGCACTCTTAGGCCTTTGTATTTTAAAAACACTTCTGAGGTTTAGAGGTGCTTAGCGTTCAGACCTCTGGATGTCAGGACTACGTTCTATTTTTATTAATTTTACAATGGTCTGGTAAGGATTAATGAGAATTTTCAAGCACTTTAATTTTCAATATAGGAAACTCCCTTCCTTAAAGGTATATAGCCTTCTGTCTTGAAGGCTGTTGAAGTCAGTTGGTTATAGTGACCGCTAATTAGTGTAAGGCCAATTAGCTTAGCTTCCTCACAGATTTCACCCCTAAGGCTCCTTTCAATAAATTCATCCCCTTTCTCGGCTGAGACTAGTGGGAAGTGTTCGGAGGGATCAACAACCCACATTCACCACCACTCCTGGAAAAGCGAATGTCCTAATGGTGGAAGGTCAGTGCCATTAATTTCGAAAAGGCAGCAGTGATAACTAATTAACCACATACTATAACAAGCAAGACCTAGTTTTCGTGTTAAGAACTCGTCAGTGGTGTGATTTTCGAATAGGCAAGTGACAATTAATTAGCCACGAACATATTAGAGAGCACTGATTTTTGCATAAGTGTTAGCACCTTTTAAGCAGAAATAAGCCAAGTTCTAGGTAAAAGACTGAGCTCTCTGGGACGCAGCTACAGATGCAAGAACGAAAAGAAATGTTTTTCTGCAACTCTCCTTCTGAAGATTTGCCACTCTTGGGGGCGGGGGAAGGCTGTCCCGTTTCCTCTCCACCTCTTTCCACCTTTCAGGAAAACATGATTGAAAAAGGCACGTGAGATGATGCCTTTGAGCAAAGTTAAGCCTGCAAGCTCAGGGAATCTGAATGGAACCTCCCTTCCCCTCTTCTTCCTCCCCCCTACGTCTCCTTAACACCCCCCCCCCCCGCGAATTTGATAGAATTTGAGAACATCTGAAAATCCCGAAGGTAGTTCCTCACCACCTCCTCTTCTGGGATATGGGAATAACTTTTTTTTTCTTTTAAAGAAGGAAATCCCAAAGATAGTGGGAAGGGGTATATATGGTGGATAGAGTATTGCGCAAAGTAAAACTAAAGGAAAATTTAGGTACGGGAGGAGTCCGTATCTTGGGCTGGAAAGTGGTTAGGAGGTGGGTAACTGCAACGGGGGGGAGTATTAAATACAAGAAGTTAGATGCCTAGGCTTTTAGAACGCGAGGCAGGAGGGGATTTAGTAGGAGAGCTAAGGAAGGGATTCTAATCTTAGAGCATCCGAGTCTTACGGCAGCGCCCCTCCCCCCACCTTCCCCTTTCACTCCAATGTTCCATTCACAAGTTTCTGGCCCGGAGGCCCCTCCCGGTTCCTCCCGGCCTAGGGCGCAGTTTCCTCTGCTGCAATTGGTGAGCTGCAACAAAGCCTTAGCAACCGGCTCCTAGTGACCCGATTGGGCGCCTGGTAACTACTCGGGCGTGGGGCTGGGGGGGAGATAGGAGAGGGGCGGCCTCTTTAAGGGATGGCCGCGGAGCGGTGAAAGTGGAGGAGGGGGGAGGGCGGGGAGGTAGGTCTGGGGGTGGACCTAGAGGAGGAGGAGAAGGAGGAGGAGGAGGAAGGAGAAGAAGAGGAGAAGCAGCAGCAGCCGCAGCAGCAGAACCAGAAGCAGGAGAAAGGGCTGAAGGCAGACGAGGAGCAGCGGCTGCCAGTCGGGCAGGCACCCAGGCGCCTGCCTGCCTGCAGCACAAGTAGCCACGGGCGCGATCGGGGCCAGTAGTCTCCTCCTCCATGATCACTTTGGGGGCCGGGAGCAGACTTTGCCCGGACGTGAGAGCTGGTCTGCGTATCTCAAGGCGCGGCGGCGGCGGAGCGGGGTCGGGCGCGGTGCAGCGGCGGCCCGGGGAGTGTGCGCCCCGCGCAGGCAGGGCTCGAGCTCGGGCTCCCCTCGGAATGTCCCCGGGGCGCCTCGCGCGCTGACCCCCCAGCAGCCTCCGCCTTCTGCTCCCGCTCCTGCCGCCGCCGCCGTAGCTGTAGCCGCCGCTTTTCTCTCCGCCTGGCTTCGCGCTCAGAGCTCCG